AGGCTCAGGTTAAGTTGTTTGCCTAAAGTCTCACAGGTAGTGAGGTACAGAGCTGGGATTCGACTCAGTTCTGTGTGGCTGCAAAGCCTGTGGTCCTAACAACTATGCTATTCTGCCCAAACTCTTGAAGTTCAAACTCTTCAATTATTTCAGATCCTATAAAGCTGGCCCTGTCTTACCTCTCCAGTTTTCTCTCTCATTGCTTTGTAGCACAAACTTGGTTTCAGCCGAGCTCGTCTCATTACCCTCCAACCTGAATATTCTTTCTCTCCTCTAAACTTTTGTTCATGTGGTTCCTTCTGCTTGGAATACCCTCCCTCCACTCTCTGCTTGTCCGGATTTTAAACATCTTTCAAGGCCTAGGTCAAATTTTGACTCACACAACTCGCACTACTCTTCCATTACAGACTACTCATAACATTTGTTTATACTGTAGACAATAATCTTTAAACTTTTGATCACACACTGCATCAGTAAAAAATGTTTGAGCACATGCTTCCAATATATGTATACTGTATTTACCTTATGGACATCTATACTACTGTGCTTGTATATAATGTGAATCATAGGATATATACAAAATAGAAGTATAAAAAGGATGAGATAAAGATGAAATGATCTCAGAAAAATTTTAATTTAATTTTATAGTAGATTATTGAGAGTGAATATGAATTCATATTTCCAATAGTCTTAAAGATTTAGCATTATTTTAGCCAGCTCCTTGATAGAACAGATTAGCTCAGCATTGTGTTTTCACAATAACGTGGCAGATGATGAGCTGTGCTAAGAGTAGCATAAGTTACACCTTTGCCATTTCCCTGTTATTTACTTAGACCCTCATTATGAATCTTCTGTCCCAGGTTTCTTGTAGGAATCTTGTTAAGGGGCTTGTGCATTTTGTGGAACTTGGTTTAGTTAAAACTGGGTAATATATGTGTACGTCCACCTAACTTGGCACAGATGAACTGCAATTAGTTCTCATTAGCTAAAAAAATGCTCTTCTTTCATGAGATCTTTAGACTCTGTGGGCTGAGTGAGGGCACCTGCATCAATCTGTGTGTCTAATATCAGCAAGCCTTCATTACTTACTATCTTAAATTTTAAAAAATATAAAAATGGAATTTCTATTTTTTTTCTTTTTGCTTCTCTAGATCATCTTGTACACCTCCTGGGCTATGATCATGCTTACTTTGGAGAGTACTGACAATATAAATAAAGCTTGTCTCTCAAATATGATTCTAGGCCCATTTAGGGAACGCTCATCTGCTTATTTTATGTTCCCAATAATTTTTAGCACTGTATTTGCCCAGCACTATCCTAGATGCTTTAGTATGTGTGAAATATGCTTTTAAGAATGCCAGAATGGGAGCTGGCCTGGTGGCGTAGTGGTTGAGTTTGCACACTCTGCTTTGGTGGCCCAGGGTTCGCAGGTTTGGCTCCCGGGCGCAGACCTACACCACTCATCAGCCATGCTGTGATGGCGTCCCACATACAAAATAGAGGAAGATTGGCAAGGATGTTAGCTCAGTGACAGTCTTCCTCACCAAAAATAAATAAAGAAATAAAAATAAGAATGCCAGGATGAATTTGGACTGTGGAGGTTTTTTTAACCTTTTTTTTTTTTTGAGGACGATTAGCCCTGAGCTAACTACTGCCAGTCCTCCTCTTTTTGCTGAGGAAGCCTGGCCCTGAGCTAACATCTGTGCCCATCTTCCTGCCCATCTTCCTCTACTTTATATGTGGGATGCCTACCACAGCATGGCTTTTTGCCAAGCGGTGCCATGTCTGCACCTAGGATCCGAAACAGAGAACCCCGGGCTGCCAAGATGCGGAACATGTGAACTTAACTGCTGCGCCACCGGGCCGGCCCCTTAACCATTTTTAAGAGTACAATTCAGTACCATTAAATACATTTAGAATGTTGGGCAACCATCATCACTTTGCATTTCCAGAACTACTTCATCATGTGAAACAGAAACTCTACCTGTTCAGCAATAACTCACCATTTCACCCCCCCCATTTCCTGTAACCTGTATTCTACTTTCTGTCTCTATGAATTTGACTATTCCAGGTACCTCTTATAAGTGGAATCATACAATATTTGTTTTTTCGTGTTTGGCTTGTTTCACTTAGCATAGTTTTTTCAAGATTCACCCATATTTTAGCATGTGTCAGACCTTCATTCTTATTGGCCAGCCCTGGTGGTCTAGTAGTTACGATTCGGCATTCTCACTACCCCGCCCGGGTTCATTTTCCAGTCAGAGGACCATACCATCCATCTGTTGCTTGTCATGCTGTGGTGGCCGCATGTTGCTGTGATGCTGAAAGCTATGCCACTGGTATTTCAGATACTAGCAGGGTCACCCATGGTGGACAGGTTTCAGCAGAGCTTCCAGACTAAGACAGACTTGGAAGAAGGAACTGGCCACCCACTTCCGAAAAAATTGGCCATGAAAACCGTATGAATTGCAGCAGAGCATTGTCTGATATAGCACTGGAAGGTGAGAGGATGGCGCAGAAAGACCGGCAGGGTTCCACTCTGCTGTACACAGGGTTGCTAGGAGTCAGAATCCACTTGACAATACTAACAACAACAAAACAGTCTGTTGAATGGATATACCACATTTTTTTTTATCCATTCACCTGGTGATGGACGCTTAGGTTGTTTTCACCTTTTGGTTATTGTGAATACTGCTGCTATGAACATTGGTGTACAAGTATCTATTTCAGTCCCTGCTTTCAGTTCTTTGGGATATACCTAGGAGTGGGATTGCTGGATCATATGTTTAGCTTTTTGAGGAACCACCAAGTTATTTTCCACAGAGTCTGCACCATTTTGCATTCCCACCAGCAATGTATGGCGGTTCCACTTTCTCCACATTCTCACCAACACTTGTTATTTTCCATATTTTTAAACAATAGCTATCCTAATGAATGTGAAGTGGTAGCTCACTGTGGTTTTGATTCGCATTTCTCTAATGACAAATGATGTTGAGCATCTTTTTTATGTGCCTACTGACCATTTGTATATCTTCTTTGGAGAAACACTATTCAAGTCCTTTGCCCATATTTTAATTGAATTGTTTTGTTGTTGTTGTTGAGTTGTAGGTTTTTTTTGACATATTCTGTATATTAATTCCTTATCAGATATATGATTTGCAAACATCTCCAATTCTATGATTGTCTTTTCACTCTCTTGATAGTCTCTTTTGCTGAACAAAAGTTTTACCTTTTTATGAAGTCCAATTTATCTATTTTTCTTTTGTTACCTGTACTTTTGGTATTATATTGAAGAAATCATTGCCAAATCCAATGTCATGAAGTTTTTGCCCTATGTTTTCTATTTCCTTTTTTTTGATTGTGAGGAAGATAGGCCCTGAGCTAACATCTTTTGCCAATCTTCCTCCTTTTGCTTGAGGAAGATGGTCCCTGAGCTAACACCTGAGCCAGTCTTCCTCTACTTTGTGTATGGGATGCCGCCACAGCATGGCTTGACGAACAGTGTTTAGGACCATGGCTGGGATCAAAACCTGTGAACCCTGGGCCGCCAAAGCGGAGAACATGAACTTAACCACTCTGCCACCAGGCCAGCCCTGCTCTGTGTTTTCTTCCAAGAGTTTTACGGTTTTAGGTCTTATGTTTAGGTCTGATCCATTTAGAGTTAATTTTTATAGATGGAGTAAGGAAGGGTTCAACTTCATTCTTTAGTGTGTGGAGGTTCAGGTTTCCCAGCACCATTTGTTAAAAAGACCATCCTTTCCTCATTGAATGGTCTTAGCACCCTTGTTGAAAATCATTGGACCATGTAAGCAAGGATTTCTTTCTGGGCTTTCTCTTCTATTCCATTGGTCTATATGTCTGTCCTTATTCCAGTACCACACTGTTTTGATTACTGTAGCTTTGTAGTAAGTTTTGAAATCAGTAAGTGTGAGTCCTCCAAGTTTATTCTTCTTTTGCAAGATTGTTTTGGCTATTTGGAGCCCCTTAAGATTCCGTGTGAATTTTAGGATGGGTTTTTCCATTTCTGCAAAAAATGCCATTGGGATTTTGTTACGGGTTACATTTGCACCTGTTGATCACTTAGGGTAGTATTGCCATCTTAACAATGTTAAGTCTTCCAATCCATGAACGTAGAATGTCTTTCCATATGTGGGTTATTTTTAAAAATAACTATTCATGTGAAAAATGATACTTGAATATTATAAAAAGGTCAAACAATATGGTAAAGTACAAGGAAAGAACAAATTACCCCAAATCTCACTACTCATTGATAAGTACTGTTAACTTTTTGGTGAACATCCTTCTGAATACCTCTTGCTTACAATTTTACATAAATAGTGCCTATCTTTTTTCCTACTTACTATGTAATACATGTTTTTCAATGTCAATGACTGGATTTAAATCATGCTTGTACCATTATTATTTTTTTAATATTTTTTTTTCTCCCCAAAGCCTCAGTACATAGTTGTGTATTCTAGTTGCAAGCCATTCTAGCTCCTCTATGTGGGATGCCACCACAGCGTGGCTTGATGAGCAGTGCATAGATCCAAGCCCAGGATCTGAACCAGCGAACCCTGGGCCACTGAAGTGGAGCGTATGAACTTAACCACTCAGCCACAGGGCCGGCCCTAGTACCATTATTTACTTAAGCAAACCCACACTGATAGACATTTAGTTTGTATTGAACTGTGAGTACTATTTATTAATATCATAGTATTAATGGTAGGAGAAATAGTATAATATTGAATGTTTGATGTTTTCTCTTTTGAATGAAGAAATGTACAAAGTTTTTCATCTAATCAGTTCCTGCATATTGGATGTACTGTTGGTATGGTAGGTGCAACAATGAAATGAAGAGAACCAGACACTTGTTAGAAATTCGTTTATACTCTAGCCCTTCTATAGCTCGGGGAATACTACTAAAGGTGCAGCCAAATGAAATCACTTTTTAAAACCATAGGAACTTGTATTCAGTTCATTCTCATGTTCTCACCTTTCAGGAGGAAGGCATGGATTTAATAAATAGAGAAGCAATGCGTACATGGTGAGTACTGTACTTTGAGTTTCTATTCTATCATTTGTATATTCAGTCACATCTTTTCCTTTAGACAGGCAACTGCAGTACTGATGTCTTTTCTTTTATAGGGAGGTACAAACCGCAATACAGATAGGTCAACCTTGGAAAGAAAATTCGAACCTGGTATGGTATTAACACTCAATTTTGTAGAAAACTTGAGATTGTTACTGATTTTCAGTGTTGGTGCTACCTAGTTTTGCTGTAATTTCTAGAAATCTAAGCTCTCATTTGAAACTAAAATTACATGTGCTGCATAAATAATTTCTGATTGCTCTTAGGAAAGTTTATGATTTACCCATCAAAATAACTAGCATTGTTTGAAAGTGGGCTTCAAAGTAAATAGTTGTCTGATACCAAACCATCATTGTGTACCAGCTTCCTCTCTGTCCTAGTCGGCCTTACGAAAGTTCAGTTGTACTAGTTAAATCGCTTAGATGACAAAATAATAAATGATTTCACTCCCTTCTACATAATTTATTAACTATGTATTAGAGTTTTAAACCAATGACAGTAGATTTACTGGGAAAATACTACATTTTTATGCCTGTAACACATATACTCCCACTAACATTTTAACATACAACCTTTAATTTAAACATATTTGGAACTTAGTTACAGCCCTTGCTAACATCTTTTAATGTCTCTGTACACATTATGATTACTTAGTTGTGGTAGTTGAATGATGTTTAGGGTTCTTTTCCATGGATGTCTCAGATAATGACAGAATAAGAATTGAGCTGAAATTTGAGTAGAAGAGATTCTGGTTAGATGTCAATTTTCAGATTTGGGAATTATTACATAAGGAAATGGGTCATCAGCAGAAGCAGTGACATCTTATTTTCCTTTGGGCCCTGAGTGCCTTAGATGGCCATCTACCCCTGATTTAGGAGTAGGTCCTGGAGACTGAGTAGATATCCGCTGGATCCTGTCACTTTTCATGTTTTGACGCTAATACAATTTGTAGATGCTTTGGATTCCCTTGACTGACCCGATTCTAATTGCTTTAGGTGTTGGCGTGAGTGAATGACCGAGTGAGTGAATATGCGAGTGCGTTAGGAGGAGGAAGGGAGCATGTAACATAACTTTACCTGGAAAGGAAAAGAGCGCATTTTAAAATCCTGAATTATGCAGTACTCATTTTGTCTACTTAAAATCTGTAAACATTTTTCATAGCTGTAGTTATTTTTGCTGTTCCATTTGTATCTTAGTTCTAACCAAATCCTTTTTTATTCTTTCCTGGACATAGTGTTATAGTTTTCAATAATCAAGCACAGGTTAAACCCAAAGAGCAAAATTTCAATTTAGGCTCTATGTATATAGTCAGGATTGCTCGATATTGAGTGCTCACATTCTAGGTCTTTTTGGAGACTAGGGAAGCCCCTCAACTGCCATGTAGCTCTCCTTCCCAAAGGGCAAAGGGTGCCTTTGCTCATTGAAGTGAATCTTTGGTTCTCTGCTTGTTTCAGGATGATGAGAGCTCCGCAGCGTGGACAACGGCTAACTCAGTAAGGATGCCCTTCCCCATGTAACAGCTATCTCCCTAAATATTTCATAGGTAAGCAGTTGGTGCTGTAATTGTACACTGTTTTCTGCTTACACAGAGTGACAGCAACCTAGAGAAGCCAGCTTCTCCAAAGTGCTTTGATTTATCCCCAGCAGCTTCTCCCCCTATGGGGATTGAGCAGGTAAGAAACGAGTGCCTAAAAGTCTGTGTCCCTTGAAATATTTATGAAACATTAAGGTTTGTCCACCCAGATCTCTTGGGGGATATATTTTCCTATAGGACATCTGATTCTAAATGACAGTTTTGCCGTCCTTTTCATTTCTTAAACTATTATTTACATATAACAGAAGTCACCAACTTTTAAGTATATGATTTGATTAATTTTGATAATTGTGTACAATCCTGTAACTGTATCCACAATCAAGATATGGAACAGTTCCCACACTCTAAATTTCCTCATGATCTGTTGCACTCCATCTCCTTTCCCCCAAACCCCACGCACCCTCGGAAACCACTGATCTGCTTTCAGAGAAAAGTAGTCGTTTTAAAACCTCTGTTCCAATTTGGTTTTAGCTGTGTTCTTCTACGTCATCGCAAACTTGTATGAGTTGCACCGGTTCACCTCTGGCTCCTGTTGCTAATCCTATGGAAGAATTTACAATGTAAGTTTATATTGTATGAAAATCCCAAATTGCTTAGAAAATAAGAATGGTAGAAACTGAAAAGAAATTATAGTTCCAGGTTCTGTGACAACCAAAGAAGCAATGTCTTTTTAGCTAAATTAAATGTCATTGTTTTGGTTCGTCATTTTGTATATCGAAAAGAATAAAGTGACCGAGAACATTTGAGAACATGAACATATGAAGAATCAGTAACTCATTAACCTTCTTTGAATATGGTCTTCCTCTGACTGAGCTTGTTGGTGAGGATCAGAGCTAACTCTTGAAGCTTAAAACAACTGCCCCCACTCGCTCACCCATGATTCTCATTTTGATTCGAGGCAAGTCACAGTGAGAACTGCAGGTCCCTCTAGCTTTTCCCCCACAACTTGGGAAAATCCTGAATCCTTATAAATTACAAGACAGTCTGCTGTCCTCGGGGCTTCCTTTTTTACTCATATTTAGAGAAAAGCAATACAATAATGTGCTGTGGGGTACTACACAGAGTCCTCTTTTAAAGTGTATGTCCTTAGATATGTTATAATGAAATAGTCGTAGCTCATTTTGTTCAAATATTTTCTTGTAATGATTGTCATAATTTCATTTTAGAAGAAGAAGTCAAAGCCCCACCAACACTATTACACCAAGTATTCTTGGACCATTAAAAAGAAAAGGTATTTTTATCTACCAGCAGAAATAAATATCACTTTGAATTATTTTTATAAAATATCATATAAAATCAAATGTTATATAAAATTCATTTTTAAAGGATTTATTTATTTAAAATGTATTTGGTAAGTTATTGAGGCCTTTTGTTTTACTCAAACGAAACTATGTGTAAAGACATTCTGAAAGTTATAATGTGCTACATAAATGTGAATTGAGAAATTTAATTTCGGTTTAGTCAACTATTATGATTTTCATTGTATAAGTATAATTCACCAAGCTAGCTGCCTTAAATACTTTCTGAAACAAGGTGGGGAATGAACAAATGCACAGAGTCAGTCATCAAATATTCTGCTGAATCTCAGCCCCTGCCCTCCCTGCCCCCCTGCCGCACGGACACACTGATATCGTATGAAGAAGTTGAAACAAACTAGATCCACTTACAACACTAAAGATATATGCTAAGATGTATGTTCTTTGATGTTTCATTTCTTTATGAGGGTTACTTTCGGTTAAGTATATGGAAAATGACCCACCTACTCAGTAATAAAAGGGCAGTGGAAAGAACAAAAGTGCTTTTCTTAAACTCCCACAGTCCTGGATCCCATTTCTCAATGCTGCCTCACTAAGCTATCTTCTTCTTCCTTTTTTGTTAATACCACTACTGAATTATAGGCTTAGTACAAAGTTTAACTCTAATAGGGAGGAAAAAAGGATAAATAGGAAAGGATATTCAACTTTAATAATGTGTATTTGTGAAAAATCCATTAAGATGGGAAAGAGAAGAAGAAAAGGAGGGAGGAGGGGAGGCGAAGGAAAAGGAGGAGAGCAAAACTCTAGGGAAAGAAATTGAAATGTATTCCAATGTTCCATGTATTTTGGGTTGATTAATGGTAATATTCCTAACAGCATACCTAATTCAACATGTACTTCCTATATTCTAAGACTAAGGTTAGATCAATTCTGGAAAATACTCTTTTCCAAACTAAGCACCTTGTTTTATGACAATGGATCGATGACCTAGCTTAGGGCTCTTTTGCCTGTGCTGTGAAGTTTGGCTGCTGTTGAAAAGACATTCAAATATATTAACAGTTTAAGAGCTGTTAGAAATTTGGGTCATTTGCGTATTTAAAATAAAATGTGCTTAAATTGAAGCTAGTGTTTTACTAAATTAAAATAATTCTCCTTTTAAGGCATTTATACATGAAGTGTTTTATGACATTGAAAGTGCCTGGAATTTTCTTAGAATTTATGATTTAAAAAATTGCTTTTATATTTCAATTTTAACATAATAGACTTGGTTTCTGCCAAGCGTCTTGGTGGACATGGCATGTCTCACACAAGTCTCTTGCTCCTAGTTTGCAGCTGCTCTGGACGATGACGGCCTCATTTCTTTGAGGTGTCCCTAGGAACTGCGAAGCGGTTTCTATATATACCATATAGTCTATATTTTAAGTCAAACCCTCCCAAACATAGCCTATACAAATTTAGTCAAAATTCATCTGGCCTTTCAGATGCAGTAACAGATTAAACAGAAATTAAATTTTATTTATATATTTTAGAATATGAATATTTATTTGAAACAGCAAACTGTGGCCTATTTGGAGCTCACTAATACAAGTGAAGTGTAGGGAACGATGGTATGAAAAACCAAAAGGGGGTCCTGGGGGGGAGAAACAAGAAAGAATGAGGACTCTGTAAAGCAGAGGAGAGTGTGAGATAAACATTAGCGTCTCCGAGCATATGAAGGCATATTTTATGGTGGTAAGCAGCAGTTACTTCCATTCGGAGTAAGCAAGAGCAGATAAGGCCTCAAGTGGGAATTCTGAGAAATCTGCAGGAACTGGGCAACGTAAATACCGTTTTACAAGTAATAATGGTTTGCAAAGAAAATTCCAGTCTTCTTCTATGATGAATTTGTTTTGATTTGTCTTCTTTTAAATTTAGACCAAAAAGGAGAGATGAGTAGCTTTTCCATAACTGTGTAAGTGTGGTCTGGCATGGCATAGGATACCCAGACCTCTTTGGAGCTTTATGAACCCTGGTTATACTCCTAAGGAAGGTCTGTGGAATCTCTGCTTCTAGGGATATTTTTTAATGAGTAGGTGGCCTTAGTGTTTTATTATTCAAATATATTCCACTCCAGAAGTTATGGGCTTGAACACCCAAGTTATGGGTGTTTCTCGCATCCAGATATAATTATCACATGAATGTGTAACATTGTGCAGATTTTAACATTTACTTCGAGGTGAAGATTGTAGCAATGCAGTTTTTTGAGATTAGATATTTCTTCTAAATCTGTAAAAATATATTTATTTTTTGTTCCTTGTATGTTATAAAAGAATTGATCTATTTAGTTCATTGTATAGGCTTGGCAAAATACAGATAGAAACAACCAAAAGGTTTAAAATAAGGAATGCGATTAAATTATGGTGCAGCCTTACTACATAGCTATAGAAAATCATGTTGTAGAATTTGATTAATAATATGAGAATTATAACCATTAAAAACAAAAAGTAGATTACATATCGATATTATATACAGTACAAATCCAATTTTGTTTAAAAACAATCATATATATACACAAACATTCAGGAATTACTGAAAAGTAGTTATGTTGGATAATGGTGGTATAAAAATTTTTCCTTTGCATTTTTTTTGTATTTTATAAATTAACTGCAATGAACAAGTCTTAGTTTTGCAATTAAAAGCATAATAAATGTGTTACATAAAACATATCTACCTTGGTCTGCTTTTTTCTCATAGCTGAAATGGCATTTGAAGATCAGCCAAAGAGATTTTTCCAAGGCCCAACCGACGTGCTTCCTTCTGATACTAACCAGGTGTCTGATATGAATGCCTGGTGAGTATTAGCATGAGGTTTTAAACATTTATTGACCATTTTCACTTGTTTTTTAAGTCTACTTTGGGTATTGTATATATTCAGAAGTAGGGTATATTATTAAATATTTTTAGAAGTTATAAAATTAATCTCCCAAATGAATACTATTAACCTTAGTTCTTCTCACTAACATTTATGTGTGACATTAATATAGGGTGGATACGTTCTTAGAAGTAGGGTTTTGGCATTAGATTAAGAGGTAATAGCGAAATACGTACAAGTGCAAACTTGGAAAAAAGTCATCTTCTTCCCATCTTTTCTACCTTGGCTTTTTGTGTGCTGTGTTAGGCTGAGCGTATTATTGAAAAAGAGCGCCAAGAAAGCATGTTTTAATGATCAAAATGGGAAATACAGTGAGTGGATTTCTATTTATTGCTACTGTTGGTTTTGTTTTACTGTTCTGGTGAAACTGCTCTTGTAACGAGTGCCAGTTCTTTGCTTCACATATTTTGCGTTCATTTGTAGACGAAGCAGAGTTCACAGAGATTTCTTTAATTCTGTTATCAGTTGGTTACATGTTCCTCTCCTAGTCTATCTTCGGATGCTCTTGATGGGAACAACGGCAATGCAGGATCTTCTTGTAATTCACTAGCTAAAATCAGCACTGTCACAAACTCTCCTGTGTCGCCTTCTGATTCTGGTTCTCCATTTATTCTAGTTGATGTACTTTCAACTAAGTGATTCACCCATCCCAAGACTTTCTCACCAATGGCAGAACACACATGCTCTCTGTCTCTCTTTCATACACCACACACATACACACACACACACGTTGGAGCAACAACAGAATTGTATGGTATAATTTAGATTATTTCCTATATATCTTTTTTCCTTAATTTCCTAAAATTCTGTTTATCTACAAAACTTGCATGTTTAATTCTTGCGTATGCCCTTAAAAGCAATGTAGTAATATTTTCAAAGGTATTTTCCAAATAAGAGCTATGTTGAAGACACAGTCATTCATCTTCAAGCTGCTAATGTATAGAAACAACTTGACTTTTAAAAAAATAATTGAGCTCTATTTATTTATGGGAATAAATAGATAAAATTATAAGTTCTGATCAAATATAATTGTTCCATTAATCAACAGGTAAAATGACTTTTTATTATGTGCTGAATGCCCATGCTAGTTTTTAATAATATTTTCAGTAATTACTAGTTTCTACTTGATAGGGAAAAATTAGCTATCAAAAGCTGTTTTTAAAACTAAGCTAGTTATACCATACTGATCCAAGGATTGCCTATTTTGCACATGAATCCTTGAATGTTTAATTTGTTGGGAAGGGACAGGTAGGGGAAGCAAGATGAATAAAAGCTAATTGAGTAGCAGGAAAATTCACTCAATTTGTGCTTAACCTGATTATCCCTGATTAATTTTGTATTCTAATTAAGTGTGGAAAAAAGACAATGTCGATAAGTTGTGGTCTACATTTCTATGAATTACCTTTTATTCATCATCACGACTACTGATTTGATTAAATAGAGGCTTAATATGCTTGGGTTTTTCTGCAAGAATCATGTGCTTCTAGTTGTTCCCTAAGGGCTATAACTGTTTAAACCCCAATTTTCTATTCAAAAGTCTTAAGGGGTTTTTTTTCAATAAGAAAAATCACGTGTTAAGGATTTTAAATCTATAGTAAGTGCTTTAAGTAATTGGGGGTCATATTAGCAATTTGAAAAATAAAAATGTATCCTCATGAAGTGAAGTTGAGAATTGGTTTAAATTTCCTCACCTAATGAAATAGGAATGGTTGCCTACAATATTTATAAAACGTTTTTCCATGTCATGGGAAATAATCAGAATGCCCCACATGGGAAAAAGACTGTGACACCAAGAACTTTTGGACAATGTCCCCTGTAGAATTGATTAGAATGGACATATATGTGGGAGGAGACTCTGTTCACCTATCAATAAATGAAACTGAGTATTTATGAGATGATTGGGATCATGATGGTCTCCCGAAGCTGGGACAGGATGCTACAGACTGGCTAAGGACAAGTAAACAATCAATATTACCTTTGTTACTCAGCTTTTTTACTTGCCAGACCTTTAGTGGACCAATTGTGAACATATAAGGGGGCCCTCATGGAATGAGGTGTGATTGCAGTGATGTTCCTTGCTGAAATTGTAGATCATTGCCAGACAAAAAGGTCATCATGCACTTTTGACTCTTTAGCAAAACAAAAAGTTTTGCAGAATGTTCAAGGACAAAGACTAAGGACAGTGAAAGTGAACAATGGGTGTGAGACTATTACTCAGTTGTATAAGGAACTTTTATCAATAAATCTTGGTAATCTTGACTATCTCGGTATACTTTTCTCAACTCAGACAATTTCTTTCACTCTATTCAATTAGTTTTTCTTGTTTTAGTTGTACCCTAGGATGTCAAAACTCACTATGATATGCTCATAATTAAGGATTTTGTAGTTAGTTTTCCATTCTGTTGCTTTTCCAGCTTGTGTATTGGGAAGATCCATTTCTTAAATGATTTTCCATTTATTGATTTTCAGACTAAAGCAGTTCTAACTCTTACATGATATTTTGTGGTTGACTTTTAAAAATTATGGTAAGGCTGTATTTTGTCATCCTACACGTGCCAAGGAATTGTCATGTCAGTTTTCCATTGTGCAGAACATGTATTAGTTTCCTTAGGCTGCCATAACAAAGCACCACAAACTCAGTAGCCTAAAGCAATAGAACTGGGTTATCACACAGTTCTGGAGGCTAGAAGTCCAAGATTAAGGTGTCCGCAGAGTTGGTTCCCTCTGGAGGCTCTCAGGGAGAATCTCCTCACGTCTCTCTCCTAGCTTCTGGTGGCTCCGGAAATCCTTGCCTTGTAGATGTATGACTCATCTCTATCTCTGTCATCACACGGGGTTCTCCCTGTGTCCCTGTGTTTTCACATGGCCTTCTTATAAAGACACCAATCATTGGATTTGGGGCCCACCATAATCTGGTATGACTGCATCTTAACTTGATTACATCTGCAAAGACTCTATTTCCAAATATGGTCACATTCATAGGTACCGGGGGTTAGGACATCAACTTTACCTTTTTAGGGACGCAATTCAACCCACAGCAGGATAACTTTGGAATTTTTACTTTGCTCCTTTCATTTTTATTAAATTAGTTTTTTAAAAATTTTGTTTTATATTATTTTTTTAAGATTGCCCCTGAGCCAACATCTGTTGCCAATCTTCTTTTTTCTTCTTCTTCTCCCCAAAGCCCCCCAGTACATAGTTGTATATTCTAGTTGTAGGTCCTTCTGGTTGTGCCGTGTGGGATGCCACCTCAGCATGGTTTGATGAGCAGTGCTAGGGCTGCGCCCGGGATCCGAACTGGTGAAACCCTGGGCTGCCAAAGCAGAGTGCACGAGCTTAACCACTCAGCCATGGGGCCGGCCCTAAACTAGTTTTTTAAATCATCTATTTTATAGCCCATCTTAAAAAAATGTGAGAACAGGAGGTGACCATATTGTATATAAGTGTTGGTATGTCTTCCTCTTATATATTATAAATACATATATTATATAAAATATATATTTAAATATTTAAATATATATTAAAAATAGATAATAAATATTATAAATATGCTTATTTATAAATATATTACATATGTATGTACCGGTATATATATGCTAGTTTTCACATTGTCAATAAAAGGATAAATGAAGGAGGAAATATGTTTTTCAAATGTTTTTAAAGCATCATTTTTTTTTTTTTTAAGATTTTATCTTTTTCCTTTTTCTCCCCAAAGCCCCCTGGTACATAGTTGTATATTCTTCGTTGTGGGTTCTTCTAGTTGTGGCATGCGGGACGCTGCCTCAGCGTGGTCTGATGAGCAGTGCCATGTCCGCGCCCAGGATTCCAACCAACGAAACACTGGGCCGCCTGCAGCGGAGCACGCGAACTTAACCACTCGGCCACGGGGCCAGCCCCTTTAAAGCATCATTTTTAAGTCTTAAATATATGTTCATGTTCAATCAAATATTCCTGTTTTACTTGTAACCTTATAAAAGAGCAGCACTCCAAATTCATCCTAACATGAAGCTCACTGCAGTAATAAGTTAGATTCTCAATCAGGAAAACAAATATGGTTCTTAAAATTTATAATGACTAAATCAACCAATCAAGCTTGTAATTTCAAGTATATTCAATAAGTATCTAATGAATGCTTTCTGTGTACAGGAAACTGTACTTAAATTGTAGGATAGAGGCCGGCCTTGTGGCCGAGTGGTTAGGTTCACGAGCTCCGCTTTGGCAGCCCAGGGTTTTGCTGGTTTGGATCCTGGGCGCGGACATGACACCACTTGTCAGGCCATGTTGAGGTGGTGTCCCACATGCCACAACTAGAAGGACCCACAACTAAAAAAAGATATACAACTATATACTGGGGGGATTTGGGGAGAAAAAGCAGAAAAAAAAAAAAAAGAAGATTGGCAACAATTGTTAGCTCAGGTGCCAATCTTTAAAAAGAAAAATGCATGGAGTCTACTCAACCCTTAAGAAAAAAATTATAGGATATATGAAGATGGGTGAGGTACCATCCTTATCTTCAAGCGCATAGCATAAGTACGAAAATAATAATGATGCAAGGCATTCTAAGATAATATGACTACAGATACACATATGAAAGGATCTCTGTATTATAAAAGTAGGAGAGAAAGACAATATTGGAATCAGAATCTTAGAACTTAAAAGATTTTAGAAGTCTTTTAATCTACCTTTCAATGCAGGAATCCTTTTGAAGAACTCCAGACAGATTGTCTTTTAGCCTTAGTTTGAAATCTTGTAGTAATGAACTGACTCCTTCACACGACAGTTCATTCTACTGTTGAACAACTCTCACTATTAGAAAGCTTTTATATTGAAAAGAGGGGATGGGGTTAGAATTTGTATCTAGGGGGCCTGTTTCATTGGCTCTTGAGAATTGAAGCAAATCAAATGAGCTATTAAAAGCACATGAGTTAAGATTCTAATTCTGCATTAATCTTTGTCCCTGCTCCTTGAATTATCAATACTCCCACTACAGGATGTATTTAATCTCATCACCTAAATGAATTTTTAAAATTCACCTAGAAGCAACCATATATAAATATCCATGCTGAAAATGCATGTGTGGTACTTTGGATATCTATGGAGAAAATTAATTACAATTTGCCTGAAGTGTTTTTAAATATTTTAGATCTTAAAAGTTGAGCTTGAAAAATCTATCATCCAGGTAAATTTCACTGTCAGGTAGTTGAAATGGTGCATTTAGAAAAGGCCAGAGAACAATAAATACTCTGGCAAAAAGGTAGCTTTGTTTCTCTTAAATTCCATGATATCTCACAGATTCTTCAAAATGTGGTTCTTAACCCAAGAGCAAATAAGATTGAGTTTCACGAATGTCTATAATACATAGGTAGAGAGAGTCAAACATCATATAGGAATCTTGGAAACTTGCTCAACTTTCTTAATAGTGGGAGACTTAATGACCATGGTCTCTCAGAAGAAATGCATTCAATTAATGCGGTTATTAACTGAATCCTATCAATTGACCAACAAGCTATATGTATGAAATTGGAGATCTGGTGGCATTACTTGACAGCAAAGTAAATTGGTAACATAATTGTGCATATCAACCTTTTAGGGGAGTGACCAGACTACATTATTAGTGAGTACAGGAGTCAGGAGACCTGACTTGTAGCTCCACCTCTGTCACTGGCTCGGTATGACTTTGGGCAGGTCACTTCACGTCTCTGGGTTTCAGATTTCCAATCTATAAAACAGAATTGGACAAGATATTTATAAGGTCGCTTCTGCCTCTTAAAATTTTATTGGTTCTGTAAAAACATCTGCCTTCATCTTTGCTAGCATGACAGTGAAAGTCATGATGGCATTAAACTTCAGAAGGCTTTAAGAAAATATTTAGGAAATTAGACAGCTTTATACCTAATATTTTGATTCTTTCTGGCAACAAGAAACTCATTTTGTTCAGCCTCATCAATAGTTTCCTCTCTTCTATGAATTATGCATGATTTATGATGAAATGTAGAAAGCTAATTTCCCCCTGGTTTCTTACTTTGTGTGGATAAATGATCCTCTTAGGATTTCCATATTAATAACAAGTTCCCACTGACAAAGCACTCACCATAAAATTTTCTTTCTACTGTAACTACAGCTTGAGGCAAAACAAAATAAAGATATACTTGGTATGTTTGTTTCAGAGAAGCAAAGGAGACAGGACCAAAAGCGACATCAACTATAAAACCTCTCCCAATACACATTTGGAAGTGCTCAACTGGTACTAAGGAGCAGACCACAGCAAAATAGCTTTTTCTTTTCCCTCAACAATTATTATATGGCTTTACAAACAACTGTCTAACTTCGCTTTAGTTGATTTCTTGGCATGGTTCCTGTGCTTGGTAACTCTCTGTCAAACAGAAATGAGAAGGACACACTTGAAAGTTGTAAACAGCTCATTTGTGACTTTGTGCTGAGGAAGGAAATATTTTGAAATTACATTATCCAGCAGAGGAACCTAATTATACTTTCCATTTCTAGTTTTATTCTGAGAGGAAGGGTTTAGTTTACTTCCTTAACTAGACTTATATTAAACTCTGCAGTGGTTTACATCGAGTCTTATTCTTGGATAATCTTTTCATAAACGTGAAGCCTTTGGAAAGGAGGGTGCTGAGGCTAGCATGTTGGGGCTGTCAAGGGAAGTTCAGCTAAAACTCCCTTAAACTTGCTTTGGAATACATTCCCATGCCACAGTGATTAGCAGAGATTAAAATTTTTTTAATAATATATGAGGCTGTTGAAAGTGTTGGGAAAGTGGTATCTGAAATTACTGTGATGGATTCCTGATGTCCTTTCTGGAGCAAGTTTGGTGGTATGTATCAAAAGCCTTCAAAATGTGCACATCTTTTGATACAGCAACTCTTCGAGGAATTTTTCTTAGGGAAAAATATGGGACAGGTTGAAAAGGATGTTTACTGTCCTGTTTTTTGTAATTGTGAAAAACCTAATGTTTTCAACAAGTTGTGCTGGGGCAACTGAATATCCACGTGCAAAGTAATGAAGTTGGACTCCTACCTCACACCGTATATAAAAATTAACTCAAAATGGACCAATGAGCTAAATATTAAGAGTTAAAACCATTAAACTCTTAGGGAAAAAACAGGGGTAAATCTTTATGACCTTGGATTTGACAATGGATATAGCACCAAAAGCATTAGCAACAAAAGAAAAAAATAGATAATGTGCATGAAAGGACATTAATAAGAAGTGAAAAGACAACCTATAAAATGAGAAAAAATATTTGTAAATCATATCTGATGAGTTTAATCCAGAATACATAAAGAGCTCCTATAACTCAGCTATAAAAAGACAAACAACTCAATTAAAATATGGGCAAAGGACTTTATGAATAGACATTTCTCCAAAGAAGATATACAGATGGCCAATAAACACAAGAAAAGATGTTGAACATCATTAGTCATTAGGGAAATGCAAATCAAAACCACAAAGAGCTCCCACTTCATATGTACTAGGATGGCTATAATCAAAAAGACAGATAATAACAAGTGTTGGTGAGGACGTGGAGAAATTGGACCCTCATACATTGCTGGTTGCAATGTAAAATGATGCAGCAACTGTGAAAAACACTTTGGCAGTTCCTCAAAATATAAAACATAGAATTATCATATGATCCAACAATTCCACTCCTTGAAAACAAGGACTCAAACAGATACTTCTATGCCAATGCTCCTTGCAGCATTGTTCACAAAAGCCAAAAGGTGGAAACAACCCAAGTGTCCATCACCAGATAAATAGATAAATAAAATGTGGTATGTCCATACAATAGACTATGATTCAGCTATGAAAAGGAATGAAGTTCTGATACGTGCTACAATGTGGATGAACCTTGAAAACATTATGCTAAGTGAAATCAGCCAGATACAAAAGAACAAGTATTATACAATTCCACTCATATGAGATATTTAAAATAGACAAATTCATAGAAACAGAAAGTAGATTACAGGTTGCTAGTGGCTAGTGGTAGAGGGAATGGGGAATTTTTTTTTTATTTTAATTTTTATTTATATATTGTATTTTATTGTGGTAATAATAGTTTATAACATTGTAAAATTTCGGTCGTACATTATTATTTGTCAGACACCATATAAATGTGCCCCTTTATCCCTTGTGCCCACCCCCACTCCCCTTCTACCTGGTAACCACTAAACTGTTCTCTTTGTCTGTTTGTTTATCATCTACAAATGAATGAAATCATACGGTGTTTGTCTTTGTCTGGCTTATTTCACTTAGCATGCTACCCTCGAGGTCCATCCATGTGGTTGCAAATGGGATGATTTTGTCTTTTTTTATGGTTGAGTAGCGTTCCATTGTATATGTATATATATACCACAGCTTCTTTATCCAATCGTCAGTCACCTGGGTTGCTTCCACATCTTGGCTATTGTGAATAATGCTGCAGTGAGTATAGGGGTGCATAGGTCTCTTTGTATTGTTGATTTCAAGTTCTTTGGATAAAAACCCAGTAGTGGGATAGCTGGGTCATATGGTATTACTATTTTTAATTTTTTGAGAAATCTCCATACTGTTTTCCATAGTGGCTGCACGGGTTTGCATTCCCACCAGCAGTGTATGAGGGTTCCCTTTTCTCCACAACCTCTCCAACATTTGCTATTTTTCATCTTGGTGATTATAACCTTTCTAATGGGTTTAAGGTGATATCGAAGTGTAGTTTTGATGTTCATTTCCCTGATGATTAGTGATGTTGAGCATCTTTTCATGTGCCTATTGGCCATCTGTATGTCTTCCTTGGAAAAATGTCTGTTCATATCCTCTGCCCACTTTTTGATTGGGGTTTTTTTTTGTAGTTCAGTTGTGTGAGTTCTTTATATATTATGGAGATTAACTCCTTGTCAGATATATGATTTGCAAATATTTTCTCCCAGTTGGTGGGTTGTTTTTTTGGTTTTGATCCTGGTTTTCTTTGCCTTCCAGAAGCTCTTTAGTCTGATGAAGTCCCACTTTTTTATTTTTTCTCTTGTTTCCCTTGTATGAGTAGACATGGTATTCAAAAAGATCCTTTTAAATTTGATGTCAAAGAGTGTACTGCCTATATGTTCTTCTAGAAGTTTTATGGTTTCAGGTCTTACCTTCAAGTCTTTGGTCCATTTTGAGTCTATTTTTGTGTATGGAGAAAGACATGGAAAGATGTTTACCTGTATTGTAAAGTAAAAAAGTAGTGTGATTAATGAGATTTCATTTTTGTTTTAAAAAAGTATATGTATGTATTTTATATGGATATATAACAGAAAAAAGTCTGTAAGGCTGTATGCCAAAATATTTAAGTCTCTGGGAGTTGAGAAGATGGATGATTTTGTTTTCATTTGCTTCCCTTTTTGTCTGTATTTTCAGATTTTTCCACATGGAATATCTGTTGTTTATATAATCAAGAAATAATGGAAGTTAAAACAAATATTTTTTAGAAACTCATATGCAGTTATTAATTATGTGAGGGAGAGGATGAAAGGATCAGGACTCCCTTACCACTATTGGACTCTTCACTTACTTCTATTTGAACTTTTGTTGAAGGAGAGTCAAAGAGCCTTTAAACTATTGGAAAGTTCTACTCATTAAAAAATTCTTCCTGGGGCTGGTCCCATGGCCGAGTGGTTAAGTTCGTGCGCTCCACTTCAGCGGCTCGGGGTACGCCGGTTCGGATCCTGGGCGCGGACCTAGCACTGCTCATCAAGCCATGCTGTGGCGGCATCCCACATAGAGGAACTGGAATGACTTACAACTGGGATATACAACTATGTACTGGGGCTTTGGGGAGGAATAAAAAGAGGAAGATTGGCAACGGATGTTAGCTCAGGGCCAATCTTCCTCACACACACAAAAATCTTCCTGATAATGAACTAAAATATGCCTTCTGTCCTTTGGTCTTAGTTTGTCATAGGGAATGCCACAAAATAAGCAAAATCCATCTCCTCTCCCAGAGACGAGATTTTCTGATGTTTGACAACAGCTACCGTGTCCCCACAAATCTTTTCTCCTCTAGGTTTCCATTCTCGTTTTTTTTCTATAAGAAGATTTCCAGACCTTGTTACTATCCTGGCCATTGGCCTCTGAACATTTTCCAGTTTGTCAATAGCTTACAAGTGTGCTACCCAGAAATGACCACAACACTCTACACTTTTTTTTACTTCTCACATCAGTTCCTAAAAAATTGTGATATTATTAGATTCATCTAATTAAAAAAGTAATTTCAGAATACTTCCCAGTTCAGTGTGACTGGACTCTGAATACTATCCTAAAATTATATATGAGAGATAATCAATTACCTATGTCCCCCCATCTTTCAATTTCTAAAGCTATATAGATGAATAAAATATTCCAGATCAATTCCTCATCCAATCTCCTGCACTTATTAAAACCTTAGTAAAAGTTTTTACCAAAACACTGAAAGGACAATGAGAGAGCTTCCATACTAATGGGGAGGACAAGGACTTCTTTGCAGTCTAACCAAGGAATCTGAAGAACCTCTTTTCCTATACTGTTTTTCACTCTTTGTCCCAGTCATTGGTACCAGATTTTAAACAAGGTCAAGCTGCATCCAGGTTGATGGGCCTCTCTATTGAGAAGGACTTCACAAGATGACAATGACAAGCCAGGGTTCGTTATGATGTAGAATATCATTTCTTGTCCTTGATCTGATCCCAGTTCTCCTGACCAACCTAGTATATAATTGGTCTTCTTTTCTGCCTAATGAATCCTTTGCCATTCTTCCCACATGGTAGGCACTATTTAAAAGAGCCTGGTAAACTGTATATACCAGCTCCACATAGCATTGAGCCCAGTGCCTTCCACCGTGCTATGTGCCTCTGTGCTTAGTTTTTTCAAGAGAGTAGTTTCCTAATTGTAGGCACTGCATCTTGGTATACAATTTATACAAGATGCTTAATACTTATATTTGTTAAGCAGAAATAACTTAAATCTTCAACTTTTAAAGAGTTTTCCACTTATGCTATCTTTAAAATCAACTTTATTGAGATATAATTTACATACATACTGTAAGTTGCACCCATTTTAAGCTTGCAACCAAAATATGGACCACTTCCATTGCCAGAGAAAATGTCCATTGCCCTTTTGTAGTTAATCTTCCTCCACCCCCACCACTGGCTCCAGGTTACTGCTGATCTCCTTTTCTCCATCACTATAGATTAGATTTCTCTTTTGTAGAATTTTATATATATAATCATACAGTATGTACTCTTTGGTGTCTGGTTGCTTTTGCTTGGAATGTCCTTGAGATCCATTCATGTTGCTTCCTGTATCAGTAGTTCATTACTTTTTATTGCTGAGTTGCACTTCATTGTATGTATATGGCACACTTTGTTTATCCATTTGCCTTTTGATGGACATTTGCGTTGTTTCCAATTGGGGGTATTACAAATAAAGCTGCTATGAATATTCATGTTTAAGCTTTTGTGTGGACGTATGTTTTAATTTCTCTTTAGTAAATACCTAGTAGAATTGCTATATTATACAGTGAGTGTGTGTTTAACTTTATAAGAAATTGCCAGCCTGTCTTCCAAAGTGATTTGACCATTTTATATTCCTGTTCAGCAATGCATGTTCATTTATGTAGTTCATGTATGTAGTTCATTTAAACAATGTTTTGATTTTGAGATCTTACTTTTCAAAAGGATTTGTTGTGGTAAATGTTGCTTGAGATAAGAAAGCCATCAATGAGGGTGAGGAAATATGTTTATCAATTATTTAATGTTTATTTTATCATATGTTTAATATGGTTATTTTATCAAAAATGTTCACCAGATTATATTTGCTTTCAAAGAATTTACCTTGTATATCTTGGGTTTTGGTATTTGGCCAAATACAATTATTCGTTACTGTTTAAAATGATCAGCTAAAATCATGCTTCCTTCAAAAGATTTAGAAAATAAACTGACTTGATTTTCTAAAGAGGCTCCTAAAATTCTAAGGAATACCTTCATATGACTTCCTACTTCTTTTTAGTTAACTTCAAGATAAGTTCATAGAGAAATCATATTCAGTTAAAGAGAAGCTACGGCTTGCTGTAGTCCCAGTGACATACATAGCCTCCCAAACTCCCTCAACTACTGGCAGGAGAAGAGTCTGACTTCATAGATATTTACCAGTGTCCTGTGAGTTAGGTGATGTGGGTGCCTGGAAAGCCATGAAGCATGGTATCAGCCTTTGGATCTTGGTGACAAGAAAGAAATTTTAAAAAAGTGAAATGAAACTTTAGATGTACTTGGTTTCTTTCACCATACCCAAGACCCAAGGGTTTATAGAGCACATGTTACCAAGCAACAAGCTTTGCTAATCTCACTTTATCAAATAGGAGCTCCGACATAAGTGCCAGAGTTGTCTGAGGCTTGTCTGGGACTCCTCAAATGTTGGGCAGGAGAAAGAAGCTGTTTGTGTACTAGACAATGTGGTGCCACGTTCACCAGTCTATCAACTAAAGGATTTCGATGTCTCCTTGCCTATGTTGTGAAATCAGGGGTAGTGCACTTGCCTTTGGGGATTTCTATCCCATCGTAGATGGTCTGCACCAAACAGATCCTATACTCTTTTCCTCTGTGACGTAGGACCTACGTAACACATCACATTTATGGGCTATTTGGGGTCATTAGGCAATGCCTGCTCTGTACTAGAGATCTAACCCTTTCTGCTCCTACTTTTTTGTTTATATGAAAAGCTTTTCTTTAGTCTCCAATTTTCTCTTAGCCATTTAAAAATATTATTACTTACTTCATCGAGTTGATCTACCCTTTATAAATCAAATATTGAAGGACTGCCCCAATGCTCACATTCTAGGGTTACAGCATTACATTGAACTTTTCTTGGTTGTAAACCTCTCAGGGAAGCTGGGTTCATCTGTGTGACTTTGTGGCATTCTCATTAATCAATCGTAACTGAAACCAGGGAAAGACATATCTCTGGTTTAAATTCTTTGGTTGAGTGGTTCCAAGTCCCATATTATTTCCTATAAATGAAAATGGCTTTAAAAAAAAAAAAACACAGCTCTCAGGAAGTTGAACAGCTTGGTATGCTCTGAGAGACTCAGCAGGTTAACATAACCTAGGCACTGTCTCTCTACCGATGTATTATTTATTGAGTTTATATTCTACTTCTTTCCCAAAAGGACTTGAATCAGAGACAACTGAAGTTGATACTGTTTGTCTTTCATTTCTTCCCACCTTGCTTTCTGCTGCCTCTTTCCCTCCAGCTGTCCAAATGCCAGCCCTTCCTCCCCCACCTGGTATCTGCCCAGGTCTGCCCTCTCCCAAAACGGGCTGGGTCTGATGCTCCAGAAATGTATCTTCTTCCCCTCTTCTAATCAAAGCCCCCATCCTAGCAAGTCTAAAATCAATTCGGACATTCTGATTAAAGTTTTTCACAGGAAAATTAAAGTGACCAATAAATTTAACTCTGGGGGGAGGTGTTTGTGTTTTAAAGCAGTGATTTAGTTCTAATCTCAGTCGTTGGCAGTTGGGGGATAGTGGTCAGGGGATGATGTTGCTGGGAGTTTCTGTCCCCTCCCTGTCACCTCTCCAAGTCTCCTCCAAGCACTACATGGAGTGGGCAGAAGCCATGGGCCCTTCTCTCCCTATATCCTCATTATTGTCCGCATTTATTCAGGAGGAAACTGGGCTTTGGGAGGGTTAATCACTGGCCCAAGCTTCCTCCTAAACAAACGGGTTCAATAATGGCACCTGCATCATAGAGTTATTGTGAAGATAAAATTATCTGCTGCGTATAAAACTAAGCTAAGCTACCTGGCAGATAACGAGCCTACAATTTTAAAAGTTCTTGTTGTTATTCACAAGTTGGTCTGTGAAAGGAAGGGAAGAGGCCAGTCCTAGGTGTCTTCCAGTCTCCCTTTCTAGACCTTCATGGCGTGCAAAACTGGGTTTCCGTTTATGCTGGTGTTATAAAGCTTCCTTTAAAATAAATTTCAGTAGGGAAAGGTAAGTTGATTTAAAGAAAATCGTCAGGTATCAGGTGGTGTGTGGATATGGCAAAGATGGTGAGGAATGCAAGTGAATGCCTGTTTCAGTGATCCCTCACTGCCAGAGTAAGTTCAGACCTTGTAATGGAGGGGCCACTCTATTGAATAGTGCACCTGCTGGCCCGCTCCCAGCCCTCCGATCCCCTTTAGCCTGCTCTACTTTGCCTTCTTCCTATGGGACTTATCGTTTATTCTCTATAGTTTACTTACTATTTTTATTGTTTCTCTCTCTTTGCTACAACATAAGCTTCCCGGGGCAGGAATCTTTTTCTGTTTTTGTTCCCTAAGTGATCAAAGTGCCTAAAATAGTGCCTGGCCTATAATATGAGAGTCACTAAATTATAATATTTATAATATTATTTGTATGTTAAATATATATTTATAATATAGTGTAATATTTATAATATATACAATATATTAATATATATTATATGACTGAAAAAATGACCATGGCATTCACAGTCCTTCATCATCTGGTCCCACTCTATTTTCCAGCCTCACCTCCTGTCCTTCTCCCCTCTGTCACTGATGCTAGCAGTTTCCTGGGCACACCATTTGCTCCCCCATCTCTGCATTTACTCATACTCTTTCCTCTGCCCTGAATAAATAATCACGGACCTATGCAAAGATTTAGTTATTAGAATGTTCTTCACAGTCTGGGTTTGTATCAGAGAAGAATTTGGAAC